GAGCCTGGGTACAGGCAAACAGCAAGCAAGATAGAGACAACCAAGAGCGGCTCTCCCGTGCGAGTATTGTGTGGAGAAAGGTATACAGACAGATACCTCGCTGGGGACTGGCGCCGCTGACTTTAGGCAGGCTGGTCAAGGCTACGGTGCTTGCGGCGCTACTCTACGGATGTGAAGCTCGAAGCTTTACTGCCGCGCAGTTGCACGCATATGAAATATTCTGGAATAGGGTCGTACGAGGGATAAGTGGGCAGAAGATTCGGGAGATGCATGAGGCCAAATTGACTATGCGAGACCTAAGAGCTAAGCATGGGTTAGACACGATTCGGATATATATCGGGCAACGACAACTTCAATTTCTAGGACATATCGTTCGTCTCCCCCAGCATCGTATCGAACGACAGGTTTGATTTGGATGGCTCTCGGAATTTCGTGAATGTAATCGGGACAAGTCGAGAACGGTGAGGCCTTCTACGAGGGCCCAGTATGCCAACAGGGTGGAGGAGGCGATGGTGATATCGGAGTTGGGCGGAAGTACGAGGAGGGAGAGGGAGCAGGGTTGGCAGCAGATAGCAGAGCAGAGAGTACTCTGGCGAGCGGTTGTACGCAAGTGGGTCAAAGCTGAGCGGGCCAAAGACCACAAACATTGCTGGAAAGTCAAACACGCACCCGGAGGTAAATACGATCAGACTTTGGCCCGCCAGCAAGCGAGACTCACTGCTCTCACGGGCGTGACTTTTGACGCCAATGGCCAGGCAGTGTGTCCTCACTGTGAGAAGGACGGGATCCTGGTCAAGTGGCACTCGCGGCAGTTGGCCGCCCATATTTTACCCTGCAGGACGAGGAATTCAGAACAGCGCCACAAAGCAGCTGCTGGCCGTCGCATGAGAGAGGAGAAAAAGAAAGCTTCGATTGGAGTGGGTGGTGGAGGATGGCAGGGGGCAGCACAAGACGTAGGTCAATCTCATGAGGAGGCTGAAGAGGCCCGACTGGCTCGTATTCGTGCGTATGTCTCAGCCATGGCCAGTGCATCGGTTTCGTCACCTGTCCCCGCTGAGGCGTGCAAGAGACGGCTATTGAGCAAGCAGAAATATGTGGTGACTGAGGTCCCCGTTGGAGGCGCAAGGGATGTTCGGGCCCGTCGAATCCGAGGCAAACAAGCTCGTCCAGAGGGATATCGACAGCCCGAGGGAGGAGGAGGAGAGGATCATATTCCCCGTGGTAAGTTTCGAAAAGGTCGAGCACAACACACTGGTCCACAGGAGCGGGTACCGATGAGCATTCGTCATACGCTCAAGAGGAAGAGGGAGGAGGCGGAGGTCAGCATCAAGGGTACCAGCTCGGATTTCAAGGAGAAGGTGGAGGAGGCGAGGAAGAAGAGGTTGGAGGAGCAGAAAACCAAGTATCGGAAAGGAGGGAGGACGAGGGCATACAAATCATTCTATCCATCAGGGGGTTGGAGTACTCCAGGGGGGCAGAGGATCATTGCAGAGACGTTGAGCGAGTTCCCGATTCCAGAGGCCAGTTTTCAAAGACAATGTCGTGGCAAGAATTGCAGAGTGTGTTCTACATGGTATAGATGCCGTGAATATGGGTGTTGTTTTGGAGGAACATATCAAGATTGGGGTTGTGCGGTGTGCTCTAAATGTACTAGATGTCGTAGTGCGTTGCATGATGACGAATGGAAAGTGGCGGAGCTTATCTTAGCTCGGAGGGGGTGTATTCCGACGGCGATCCAGGGGCTTCAGCGGCCCCCGAGAGAACCTGGAGCAGATCCATTGAAATGCCAGTGGTGTAAGGAGCCTTTTGTGAATATGACAAAGACTGCAGCACATGAACGGGCATGTCTTCATATGCCATATGATATGTGGGTCGCACGCACACGGTATTGCTTGAGTACGCAGAAAGATCGTACGGTTGCTTGTGTTCATTGTGGTACATTATTTCAGACGAAGCGTGGGTCGGTCCAGCATGAGAAAAATTGTGCACACAGACGTGAGATTGCAGGTCTACCGCTAAACAAAGAAAGATGGCACAACACGGCTGAAGATGCTGCTAAACTGTGACCCGTTGGGGAGTGGTGCGAGAGGTCCCGCCACTCCAGCATGTATTTTGTGCCGTGTACGTTTTTGGCGTTCAAGTATGAGTTGAGGGATTTTGTTATTCAGCTACCAGCATTGTATCGGGCCAACTTCCTAGACTATTATCGATGGCGGATATCATGGCGGATGTGCAGCAGGCGCGTACCAGAGTGCAGCAGGGAGGAACAGTGGAGAGGACAAAGCAAAAGAGTGATCCAAAAACTTGTGTAGATGCCGATGTACTTCGTTACCTGTCGAGAGACTACTTGATGTTCAAGGGCGAAGCCAAACAGATGATGATTGCAAAATCTTTGGTGGCATTATTCAAAACAGAGACGATCAAAATGACGATGGTACATTTATTGCAGAAATGGGAAGATGACAAACCAGCAGTTACCGACGAGCAGAAGAAGAAAAAAGAATTTCCTGACCATCCGAGTGGTTGCAATAGGGAACAAACATATGCATTTACACCGGCCATGGCTTTACTGGAGCAGGAGTGCAAAGATTATCATGTTGAGACAGCTAAACTTGCCAAATAATTGCGTGGTTTGCCAGTGACGGAGAGAGATCTGATGCCGCAGTATTCAAAGCAAAGTTCAATACTCCAAAGGAGAAACGTACGTGGAAGTTCGAGTGGATCATGAGCGACTTCTGTACGGACAAGCACAAACTTACTGTATCCAAGCTGGTCACTGGTATGCAGAAGAGGGATGTGGTGTCTATGGAGATGTCTAAGATGGTACCACAGGCAGACTCTGAGACAGCCCTATGGGGCTGGTTGAAGCAGGCCAGGTAGCCCGCTCGGGGCGCTCGGCCCCCCCTCCTTTTGGAGCCTGGGCTGACGCCTGGGCCAGGGGAGGGGGCACGATGTCCGAGGGCACCACGGTCGGCACATCGCCGACGTTTTTGGTACGCTTTTGGATGGGGTTGCTCGAGTTTTGGGGATGAGCTGGGAATCCTGTACGAGTATTCGTGGTTTGAGCAACTGCATCATCTAGTACGTCGTGTCCTGGGACGCCCCGTGATGAATTCGGTGTGCAATTTTTGGCTGAGGATGGCTTGTATTCTTTTTGAATGGAGTTCAAAGTATCTTGAATGACGAGCTCAACTACATCCTTTACAATCAGGAGTGCGGTTTGTTGTGGTGATTCCGGGTTTCTCATAATTCGAACACCTCTTTGGGGGAAGAAGGCGGCAGATTCCCGCAATGCGGAAAGTTCCCCGCAATTCAAATTCAGAACTTCGGGAAACCAGCGGGGAGAGGCCGCTGGAAGGTTCGAATTATGGGAAACCTGGAATCACTACAAAACAGCGAAATCTATGAGCTGATTCCGGGATTCCCACAATTCGGAATTATGGGAAACCTGGAATCAGCTCATAGACTGCGGCTTTTCGTAGAAAGATTCCAGGTTTCCCATAATTCGAATTCGAGGTTTCCCATATTCGAATTATGGGAAACCTGGAATCACTACAAAAAAACGAATTCTATGAGCTGATTCAAGGTTTCCCATAATTCTGAATTATGGGAAGCCCGGAATCAGCTCATACAGTGCAGCTATTTGTGGTGATTCCAGGTTTCCCATAATTCGAAACCCTCATTTGAATTCGAATTCAGAATTTCGGGAAACCAGGGGGGAGAGGCCGCTGGAGGGTTCGAATTATGGGAAACCAGGGGTCACCACGAAAAACCGCACTCTATGAGCTGATTTTGGGCTTCCAACAATTTAGAATTATGGGAAACCCGGAATCATGGGAAACCTGGACCCACAATAAATAATTCTACCGGGCAGTCGTCCGGCCATGGGTTTTCCATAATTCGGAATCATGGGAAGCCCATAGCTAGACGACTGCCCGCGCGAGGTGGCCTGGCACGTTTCACCTAAGACACCCTCGAAACTCACAGCGCGGAGCTGCGGCACGGGAGGTGGTCTGGCACGCTTCGCCGACGACGTCATTGCAACTCTGAGCTCGGAGGCCGCGCGGCAGGTCGTCCGGCAAGTGTCGCCTGAGACATCCTCGCAACTCTTGGCTCTGAGATGCCGCGCGGGAGGTGGCCCAGCACGCTCCGCCTAAGACATCATCGCAACTCTGAGCTCCGAGAAGCCGCGCGAGAGGTGATCCAGCGCGTTTCGCTTGAACCCTCCCTACAAGTCTGGGCTCCGAAATACCGCTCGCGAGGTGATCCGGCGCGGTCCGCCTGAGATATCCTCGCAACTCTAGGCTCCAATATGCCGCGCGGGGGGGTTATCCGGCGCGTTCCGCCTGAGACATCCGCGAAACTCTTCGCTCCGAACCGACCCTCGAAAGGTGGGGCGTCGCGTTCCGCTGGAGACATCCTCACAACTCTGAGCTCCGAGATGCCCGCGCGAGGTGGTCTGGAGCGTTCCGCCTGAGACATCCTCGAAACTCTGGGCTCCGAGATGTCTACAGTGGAGGCCAGTCCACAAGAAACCTTCCACAGGAAACCCAACCCTGAGACCCCAGGACGTCCACTGACTTGTGGTGTGGGAGCGCCACGCTGTCCATAGCAAAACCATCGAAACCCAAGAAACCCAGGGCACCCTGGAGGCAATAAGCGTCCTTCTTGACATGGGTTTCCATTCTACTGGAAGAACAAAGAAGGGCATAAACTTTTGGCGCTCCGCGCGGATTTCTTGGATCCGCGCTGGACCCCCCTCCCATCACGCGAAGCGCGTCAGGGCCGCCAGGGGCGGGCGGCGGCGCCTGGGGGGGGCCAGCGCAGATCCAAGCAATACGCGCGGAGCGCGGAAAGTTTCTGTCTATGGCGTTGTCTCTTCATCTAGGAAGCCCTCAACTGGATCTTAGAACATCCCCTGCGCGCAGCTGGGGGGGTCTGCGCCGAGAGGGCCAGCGGGGAGGCGGGGGACGGACCGAATGATGAACGAGGGCACCCGCCTGCCACCAGGTTCGCCCTGTCGCCGAACATTCGCAGCGACACCTCGGGAGGGAGATCGTCGTCGTCGTCGTCGTCGTCGTCGTCGTCGTCGTCGTCGTCGTGGTTGTGAGCAGCGTCGTCGTCGTCGTGGTCGTCGTCGTCGTGATTGTGGTCAACGTCGACGTCGTCGTTGTGGTCAGCGTCGTCGTCGTCGTCCTCGTCGCCGTCGTGGTCAACGTCGTCGTCGTCGTCCTCGTCGCCGTCGTGGTCAACGTCGTCGTCGTCGTCGTCATCGTCGTCGTGGTCATCGTCGTCGTCGTCGCCATCGGCTAAAACGTCGTCGCCGGCATCCTGGGGGGGCAAGGGGACGCTGAGGACAACGAGGAGGAGGAGGAGGAGGAGGAGGAGAAGGAGGAGGCGGAGGCGCAGGCGCAAGCGGAGGAGGGGGCGCAATCGGAGGCGGAGGAGCAGCAGCAAAAAAAAAAAATGGACGCGAGGGAGCGCGGACAAGGGCGAGGGAGGCGGCGGCGGACCTCGGCAGGAACGCGAATCAAAACACGGGCGCAGCAACACACGCTTGCCTGCCAAGCTCCCCCCCCCCACACGCCAGATCAACGAGTTCTGCTGTCCCTCTGGGTGCCCCCCTTCGGGGTCCGATGGAACGTACTGGGCAGACCCATCCGCCCCAGGCCTCTCAACCAGGGAACGCGATCAACTTCAGTGTGGTCCACGTCGCTGTCGCGGCAGAACTCGGCGCGCAAGCGACCCCGCTCGAGACTGAGATCAACCTTGACTCTCGTCACTTTCCCGCTGACCTCCGCCTTGCGCTCTTCCAAGACTTTTCATGGCGGCGAGCAGCTTGGGGGTCTGGTGGAGAGCTGGGGAGAGCGGGAAGGGACTGCCAGCCCAGGGCGGGCAACAAACGTCGGAGAAGCGCCTTCCTGGATCTCCCGGCGAGACCAGAACCACGACGGCTCCGCTTCCATTGAGGATATCACGGAGGTAACTCACGAGAACGGGGGATCGGTGGTAACTCACGGAGGTCAAACACGGAGGTCAGTCACGGAGGTAACTCACGAAAACGGGGGATCGGGGCTAACTGACCCAGGATATCACGGAGCGGGACCCGCAGCGAAAGAGGCTGCTTTCATTTTTCTGTCGCGCGCGCCCAAAAAGGGCGGCGCTCCAAGTGCGCCACGATGCTCAAAGGGCCCCTGGGAGCTGGAGGGAGACGGCAGGGCAGCGGTGGAGAGAGAGAGAGAGAGAGAGAGCGGCGAGGCAGAAGGAGAGGCTCGAATATACATGACAACCATAAAAGCCACATGGGTCCATCCTCATCCTCAAGCGCATGCTTGACCCTCGCCGGAAATGCGATGCGATACCTTAGAGGAGATGAGGAGGTAGAGCAGCAGCAGCAGCACTACGAGCGAGAGCAGGAGCAGGAGCACCATGGGTCAGGAAGCAGGAAGCAGAAGGAGCGAGGAGGAGCAGGGAACAGGAGCAGGGAGAAGGAGTACAAGCAGACCGAGGAGGGGCATCAGCAGCAGGGGGAAGAGCAGAATGGGGAGGGTCCCCCAGAGGGGGTCCACTATCGAGACCCTCGCTTTCCTGCCACGCGGACCTTCCTCATTCAGGTCAAAGCGGGGTGATGGGTATGGAACACCAGCCAGGCCGTGTTTCAATTCCTGACCTGGCGAAGCATGTTCATAGATTTGTCTGGAAACGCAAATCGCCAAGCTTCGCCTGCAAGGTAAAAATACGGAACCCTTGGACGTCCAGGGGTGCAACCCGCCGTGGGTGTACCCAGGGGACCAGAAGATAAAGGGTCCTGAGGAAACAGGTCTTGGTCCCTGGGGCCGTCCCCGAGAGCAGCTTGTCATCCTGAATATGTGGTTGCCGGTGCGGGGGCCTCGGAAGGGCCCTGGGAAGCCGGAAACGGCGAAAAACGATAGGATCCTTTCGAAAGGCAACCATCAGCTTAAGAAACGTAGAATTCCGGACGTCCTCGCGGGTACCCTCGGCCGCCGCCGCACACCTCTCCCCGAACATCCCCAAACCCTTCCCTGGAGCGTCGGGCGCGACAAGGGCGGCGCTTAGGCGCCGCCAGAGGAGGGGGTGTCTGACGCCGACACAGAAAATCTGGGCAGACTTCCAAATGCTTATGATTTTTGTATGGCCAATTCCAGAGAAGCTAATTTTCCAAATTTGTTATGCCTTTGTTTTTTCCAATGGAGACTCCCAGGAAGTCGAAAACAGCTAAAACAATGAAGCGCGCAAGATGCCACACCATTGACGACACGCGTGGCCAGGACCATATTGGATCCCGGCATGGTGTACACGCCCTTCTGGCCGAGGCCAGGAGGGTCTTCACACCATCCCAGGGCCCAGGGTGGCCCCGTCCAGGCATGCTGGTGGTGTACAGTATAGCTGCCTTCTGCGGATCAGGACCCTTGCCTCGGGACCCCTCTTCTTCGCGCCAAGCCTCTTGAGCTGCACTATCTACACCACCCACTACGTCGCTGTAGTCCGACTCCAACGGACAAGAGGGCCGAGCCCCCACATTGGTAGCCAGCCGAGCCCCCGCATTGGTAGCAACTCAAGCGCTCAGCGACCGCAGCCTCTGCACAGGCCTGGCCGCCCTGGAGTCCTCCGCCGCCAGCGAGGCCGACGACGAGGGCACGACCCGCGAAGGAGGCGGCCGACTTCGTCGTCATCCTCCTCGCCGTCGTCACCTTCGTCGTCCCTGTCGTGATCGAGCGCGCTTCCCAAGCGAGACTACTGAACGCTGTAGGCAAGTGCCGCCCGAGCTTGTACCTTATCTGTCACCGGCTCGTGCAACCAAGAGCACCGGAAGCACACGTCGTCATCGTAATCAACATCATCACCAGCAGCAGCAGCAGAAACAGCTGCAGCAACATCATCATCATAATCAGCATCATCGTCACCATCATCATAATCATCATCATCATCATCATCATCAGCATCATCATCATTATCATCATCACCACCATCATCAGCAGCATCATCCCAATAATCGCCAGCATCATCATCAGCATCGTGGTCATCATCATCATCAGCATCAGCATCCTCATCATAATCAGATTAGCAGGAATATGGCATGATAATCTGAACAATGCTTACAGTGATAGTAATAACGATCAAGACAAAATAATGATGATAATGATACATTAGAAATAAGAAAACGAATCATAATAGGATTACGTTCAATAGCAATAACAGTTATCACACACTATGTCATAATATAAATAATACGAACTATAATAGTAATAATCGTCATCATCATCATCACCACATCAGCAACACTCTCATCCGTCATCCATCACAACCACCATCAACATCATCATCAATCATCCTCCTCATCATCATCTCCATCGACATCAGCATGGTCATCATCATCATCAGCAGCAGCATCATTAGTAGAAACAGCTGTATCGTTATCATCATCGTGATTATGATCATGATCTTCATGATGATGAGCATCATCAACCTCATCATCAGCAACATCATCATAATTATCGTCATCGCCCATCACCTATCATCATGGTCATCATGACCAACATCACAACAAACGTCATCGTAAGCAGCATCAGCTTCATCATCATCATCATCAGCATCATCATTACCAGCAGCATCATCATGGTCCTCCTCATCATCATCACCCCTAGCAGCATCAGCATCATCATCAGCATCATCAGCATGATCACCATCATCCTCAAACATCCATCATCATCAGCATCATCAACATCAACCTTACTATTTTCATGATCATCACCATCCCTATCATCCGTCATCATAATCATCATCACCACCACCACCATCATCATCATCATCATCATCATCATCATCATCATCATCATCATCATCATCATCATCATCATCATCATCATCATCATCACCACTGTCCTCGCCGTCGCCTTCGGTGTCGTCGCTCCCTCCGTCGTCCTCGTCGTCCCCCCCGCCCTCCGAGGGGGCAGCGACGGCGCGCCGCCCGCCTGCGAGGCGGCCTGCACCACGGCGCGGACGAGGCCCTCCTTGAGAGGGCCCCAGAGGCTGCTCCGGCCCGCCTCCAAGGGTGGGGCGGTTTGCAGCGAGGAGAAGGAGAAGGAGGAGGAGGAGGAGGAGGAGGAGGAGGAGGAGGAGGAGGAGGAGGAGGGAGGGGAGGAGGAGGGAGGAAAGGAGGAGGAGGAGGAGGAGAGGAGGAGGAGGAGGAGGAGGGGGAATGCAGTACGAGGAGGAGGAGGAGGAGGAGGAGGAGAAAATAGGAGGCGGAAGCTAAGAACTATTTGAACTCTTCGGCTAAGCACGGGTGGTGCGCAGGGAAAAGGAGGTTCCTAGCCAAGGCCACGGCGCACCAGCATGGCTTGCAACTGCGCTGGCGCACCCTCCCGCCTCGGACAGAAGCCGCGGGGGAGGGATACGAAGAGGAACAGGAGGAGGAGGAGGAGGACGAGGAGGAGGAGCAAGAGGAGGAGCAGGAGGCGGAGGAGGCAGAGGAGAAGGAGGACGAGTAGGAGGAAGAGGAAGAGGAAGAGGGAGAGGGAGCAGGAGGCGGAGGAGGGGGAGGAGAAGGAGGACGAGTAGGAGGAAGAGGAAGAGGAAGAGGAAGAGGAAAAGAGAGGAAAAGAGAGGAGGAGGAGGAGGAGGAAGAGGAGGAAGAGGCAGCCGTCGTCAGCCTCTGCCGTCCTTCTCGTCGCCCTTCCGTGAGGAAGCCCGCGCAGCGCCGGCGCGTCGCGGTCGTGCGGCGCGGCGCGGGGTGGTAGCCGCGCGGGTCCGCGCGGATCCGCGCGCCGCGGGCGGCGGCCCGTCGACGTCACGTATGGTTGACCTCTTTTCACCCGTAGCTTTCAAAGCTCACCAGGGGCTTCCGAAGCTCACCAGAGCGACGATCAAAAAGTAGTCTTACGCGAGATGACGTAGCAACCTTACGCCGCAGCTTATGCGGGCTGCCCGCGCGGCGAGATGACGGAGCGACCTTACGCCACAGCTTATGCGGGCTGCCCGCGCGGCACGCGGCATGGAAGACGAGAGCGCTTACGCGCGACCTTACGCGGGCAGCTTACGCGCCAATGTCGGCGAAGACGACCCCGCTTTTTTGCATCGCCCACCTGTAGCTTTCAAGGCTCGCCAGTGGCTTCCGAAGCTCACCAGTGTTTTTCCTGTGTTAAGAGGCCTCCCATATGGGGTCCGAGACTAGATGGGGTCGAAGGATCGCGCCGCATCGCCAATGCGTCGTCGATGTATGGGCGATGCATCGGAGATGCACTGGCGACGTCGGTGTGGGGAAATACGGGCTCCACATCGAGCCGCATCGTCGATGCATCGGCGATGCGGCGCGATCCTCCGACCCTATCTACTCGGACCCCATCTAAGAGGCCTAGACGTATCCGGTGGTTTTGCCAGATCCCCTGCGAGGCCTCTGGCCAATCGTTCTTTGGCCTCCTGTGCCTCCGCCTCCTTGCTGCCCTTCGTCCCTCGCCTCCGGCGGGGGAGAGGGAAAGGGGTGAGGGGGCAGAAGGGAGAGGCGACGAAGAGGATGAGGGTGAGGACGGGGAGGGGAGGGGATGAGGAGGAAGGAGTACAGTCGGCGCGTTGACCTAAGGAACCCTGAATAAGGAACGAGGCCCCGTTTGTCCATAATTGAACTTCGATTTCCCATCGAAACGTAAGGAAAACCGAGGGCAACCTGTGAAACAGCTAAGGAACAGCGAGCCCCTCCCAAACGAAAAGGGTTCCTTCTTCAGCGCCCCGACTGTAGGTAGGTGGGTTGAGGCGCATCCCTAGCCTGAGTGTTGGAAAATATAAAGCGACGCTGCGGGGCAGCCAGGCTAGCAATTGTATGCATCGTGAGCGACGCGGTCGACTGCACTTAGCAGGGAAAGGACTGATCACGTGCTGAGGCGATAAGCGCAAAAAAACCCTCCCCAGGACTAGGGGCACGGAAAAGCGAATCCACCGAGTCCGACAATAAAAAACTCGGCGGTACGCACCGTACAGTGCAGAGCCACTTGCGTGTGCGTGCGAGGTGGAAGAGGAGGAGGAGGCGACGGAGGCGATATCATCAACGGGGGGACTGCGGGGTCCTCGGTCTTCAGATCTAGAGTCCCCGGCAAAACGCAAACCTTGACCGACTCTGACCCAGCACCCGCTCATAGGGGAGCACTGGCTCGTGGGGCCGAACCATACGTTCGAGCACCAACCCGTAGATGCACAGGCCGTAGATGCACAGGCCGAATTCCCCCCCGGCATACTGCGCCCTGGGCGTCGTCATGGGCTGGGTGCAGAAACCCAGCCCAGCCAGCCCAGCCTCCTGTGCAGACTGGACCACGCTGGCACCCGAATGAGAAGCAGCGAGGCGTAAGGGGGGCCAGCAGGACCTGAAGATCAGTCCTTCTCTGTGCGCACTCCGACCCACCAGAAAGCTAGAATTGAATCACTGTCGGCTTAAGCGTGGCACTCGTCACCAATGCCCTCCCGTGCAGCGAGGGGTCAGAGAAACTGCATGAGACTTGCATCTTGAACTCATCGATTATAGTTGTGGCGTTCCGCCCGCAGCAACGCTCCTATCTCAAGATCGCCCACAGGTATGGCACTCATGATATGAATCGTTCCTGTCATCACGAGCTTGAGATCAGCACTGGACCTGAGATCCAGCTGACCGAACTCATGATTCCACTCCTTCTGGCAATGCGTGTTCGTCTTCCAGGCATGGACGTGGGGTCACAGCGTCCTCAATTTCGCTACGTCCACGCAATGTAGGTTCACCGCGACTTCCGTATGGGGCGGAGGTATTCGTGGCGATCGACATGTATAATTTGGGAGAGAGCTCGAACCCAGACCCACCCCTGTCCTCAGCGCCTCCTTCAAGATGGCTGCTTTCAGGTGTTCCCTCCTCTCACTCGCCTTCTCCCCTCCTTCGAAATGTCGGGCAGGACAAAAACGCCTTTCGAAGCCAACAAGCAGTCATGGATTCCGTGTTACAGGTGGCCCAGTCACACGCCACAACGATGACGACAAGCACGACCATGAAGCACCAACGTATCCACAAAACGCCGCCATCAACCAGACCTGTCAGCTGGAGCACGAGGCATACATAAGATTTTTGTTTCTTTTGTTACTCCGCCCCCCGCGCGCCCGGCTCCCAAGCGCCCGCCTCCAGGGGCGGCACAGAAGGAAGGATACAGACTCCGTCACGCCCACACCCCACACTAGACACATACCAGACCCAACCGCACAAAGGCAAGCAGTCTGCCAGATCAAAGACAGGTCCTCGACCCCGACAGGGCGTTGAGGCACCGCTCACCCAGTGTAGCACTCACCGCTCGCCATCGCTCGGACGTCCGTTCCCTGTGTTTTTGTTCGTTTCATGCGTGTTTTTTTCGCCAAATGATCGAGGATGCTCCTCGATGGTCCTCGCCGAAGGAAAAATGCACACGTCCGAACGATGCCAAGACCGCCGACCACGGGGTAGGCACTGGGCAGACTACCGACATCTGCCATGACCAGCCGTTCTCGACTCAACAGAACGACGACAACCCATGGACCTCCCATCCACCAGTCACCTACCCGGTCAGGGATTGGGTGGCTACCGAGGGTAGGGAGATTGACATACCACTGTCAGCAACGATCCCCGCCAGACACTCGGTCAACTCCGACCCCCACTCCAACGTCGGCTGCTGGACCCGTGGCACGGGACCCCCTCACCACGATGAGCACAAGCATCACCATCACCTCTCCTCTCAAAGCGTCACCTACGCCGACTCTGCTGCAGCTGCCCTTGTGGAGCTCAATGACACCCACAGTCCGACCAGTTTTGCTCCATACAACCGACCTTCTACAAGTTAGCTGCCTCCCACCAATCACATTCTCCGAACACTCTACCTGGCCCAACCTACGCACTCACTCACAGCCAGGCCTGGCATCAACAGGACTGGCTAACTTGGGCGACCCGCAGCAGAGCCTTGGCGGAGCCCACCCCAGTCGACTCCACCTGACCTCCAGCCTTGGCAAGCAGCAGACGCAACAGCAGCACATCTATCCACCCTGACACGAGCAATCCACAGCCACCACGTCAAACACCTGCCTTCTCCGAAGACGCATACTCCCACCACTGCTAGGCCACGGACTCAATCAGCCTTTTCGTTTACGACTTTCTTCTCTAACCCTTCGGCATCACCCTTCCCACCTGAGGCACCGCCTTGGACCGCCTGGCTCGGCAGTGCCCCCCGGAGCAACATCAGCCTGAGAAGAGGCCCAGAAAATGGTAGGCTCGCAAAGCGGCGCGGCCGTCGCGGCGAGCACCCGGCGAGGCGAGCAGTCAGCGGCCGTCGCCCGTGGCCGAGGGCGTGGCGGCGAGGCACCGCAAGCCCCCACCCAACCATCCCAACCTGACAGCCTTTCTCCTCTCAGCGCAGCCCTCCGCCTCCCCCGTCTCTGGCCCACTAACCTTCTCCGCCTCACCCACACGCTGCGCCCACCAGCCAGGACCTAAGGCACGGGGGATCCACTAGAAAGGTAGTCGTCTCCGGCCATCAGAAGGTGGCCTCCGCGCCGCCACGGGCGGTGGACGTCTCCGGGCCACCGCGGCGCAGCGCAAACCAAGAGCCGCACTGAGGGATGAGGGGCAACGACAGGGGGGCACTGGCAAAGGAGGGGGACATCGGCCTGGAGTCGGCGATGCATCGCCGACAAATCGGCGAAGGGCACCCGATTGTGAAGCCGCACTTTCCTGGGCAGGTGGGGCAGATCCCAAAAAATCCGCGCGGAGTGCCACAAATTTATGTTTATGCCGTTTTTTTCTCCCTCGACTATCGGCGATCAATGGGCGATCGGGGGTCGATGCATCCCCCCCCCTATGCCTATCCCCCCTGCCGCTTCCCCTGCTTGACCTGATGGGCCAGTTTTCCATCACCATGACCATAGGTAGGACGGGGGGGAGGGAGGGTTGGGAGGTCCGCCGCCTCCTCCTCCTCCTCCTCACTATGATTGTTTTTAGTATTGTTATGATTCGCATTGTGCGTACTACTCCTGCTCTTGAAAGCATCCTTCGCATTCGCACTCGCATTCA